TGTAATTGTTTCTCAAGGTGTGGGAATATATATTCAATAATTTCGATACTTTATAGATCTTTGTTTGTTGCATCTTAAAATAACTCTACAATATACACAGATAGTACGTTTTGATATTTTTTCAATGACTTCTTTAGCAACAACAATTGAGTAAAATCATTATACTGTTATTTTGTAGAACTAGTTTAGTTGGCCCGTCATAGTGTAGTAATTTTACTAGCGTTATATTTTAGGATAAATATTGGTGATGAAGTTGCTTGATTTCACATTTCTCGACTGACCATGACTTATATGATTTCGTGATTCTCGTTTATAATCGTGTTTCGTCGGTGAGCATTGTGTATTTACAGTAAAATGTTCTAAAATCCAGGGTTGAAAAAAAACATGTAATTTTTAATTTTATACAAAACACATGTTTTTTTTTTGTTTTTAAATTTTATGTTTTAAACAAATAAAACTTAGAAAAAAACATTGTTTAAATCATATTTTTTCAAACATAATAACATAATATGAATTGAAAATGTTTGATCTATTTTTCTCTTAAATAATAGATACCTTATGAAGTCCGACTCTGTACTAAACTGTCGCGATCAGCTGTTACGAACTACGTCGCGCGCCGCCGTGAGGCTGTGCCGGTGAATCCCCGAAATAAGAAAACCAATTGCAATGAGGAACTATTGGCCTAGAGGAACCACAGACTATTTATAAATTCGCATTGCAAGTTGGCTATTGCAATAACGTCTACTGTAAGTTATTTTGTGCCTGTGGTGTTTTTTTTTTAAATGTTGTCTACGGGAAAGAAGAAAGATGCCATTTGGTCATATTTTGATGTTGTTAAAGATAATAACAAAATATCAGTGACTACTAAATGTAAAAAATGTAAAGTAATTATGGCTGGACTAGTGCTGCGTATGAAGAAACATATTCAAAAATGTGTTCCATCTGAAAATTCTCAGCTACCAATGTCAACTATCTATGATTCTGAGTCAGATGAGGATTTAACGTTAGATGAGATATCCAAAACCCAAAAATATTCAAGGGATGCTTACCCAGATAATAATACAGGTAACTTTCAATTTAAAATTTTTATTTTTTCGGAATTACGGTGTTGTTTTTAATTCTCAAGGTTAGGTAGTAATTAAGATTTTGATTTTACAAAAATTACTGAATAAATCTTTTTTTGTCAGAGTCTGTCAGCGTCAGCACCAACAATCTCTGTTACTGATAGCATTTTATGTATAAATGACAGTGACGTTGAGATGACCCCAAAACCGTCTACTTCTAAAAGCAGCATTTCATTGTTTAAAGCTTTGTTATGAACCAGCCAATCAGAAAAGAATAAGTTGCATCTACAAATAGCCCGATATTTATATGCAATTAACACATCATTTCGTGCAGTTGAACATCGAAGTTAAAAAGATGATAAAAATGCATTACGTTCTGGATATAAGCCACCAAACAGGAATTCTGTTTCTACCGACTTGCTTGATAAGGTTCATAATTCAGTACAAAGAACAATTAAAGAAAATGTATGCAACAAGAAGGTTTGTTTAGCGCTTGGCGGCTGGAGTAACGTTCATGATGAACCTATAATAGGCGTATGTGTCACAGATATAGAAAGTGAACGAGTATATCTGATAGAGTCCATTGATACGAGTGGGAATAGTCACAGTTCTGAGTATTTATTACAGCTACTTAAAATTCAATTAAGAAATGTGGAGAATATAATTGTAAGGTAACTAGTATAATCACAGACAACGCTGCAAATGTGACCAAAATGAGAGGGGGTCTGTTTGAGGAATTAGACAGGAAAGATATAATAACTTATGGTTGTTCAGCCCATATATTGAACTTACGTGCCAGGAATAAAGAGTAATATCAAAAAAATTTGTAAATATTTCAGAAATGTACATTTTGCTAGCGCAAAATTCCGAGAAGCTGGTGATTCTACTCTTGTATTGCCTCAGGATGTTCGTTGGAATACCTTATAGGACTGCTTGGACAGTTACTTGAAAAACTGGTCAATATTATTCCACGTTTGCTCAAACAACAGAATAAGTATTGGTAAAGATATAATAAAGCTTGTAAACGACACCAATTTAAAGACAAATGCCAAAGACTATTTAAAAAAATTAAAGTATATCGAAGTTGCTTTGCACAAAGTCCAAAGAAACATTTGCACTATAGGAGAGGCTACCGAGATATGGCTAGAACTTTTGGAAGCATTCGAGAGTGAACAAGCAAATGGAGAATTTTTGGTAAGTGATACGAATAAAGTCAAGGAGCGCGAGCGTATGGAAATGACTTTGATCCCAGCTCATGTTTTGGCAAATTTGCTTGATCATCGCTTTAAAGGAAATATACTTAGTCAAGAGCAAATAGAAACTGGCATGGAATATGTAGATACCTATCATCCAGAAGCATTGTCAATTATTATTAATTACCAGGCAAAGTGTGTACCCTTTAAACCATATATGTTTTCTAAACATCTAATTGGGAATGTAAAACCATTGGCATAGTGGCGTTCTATGAAAAATATAAATACGACAGCATTGGAACTTGCTCAACAGCTTCATACAGCTATTGCATCGTCAGCCAACATAGAAAGACTCTTCTCATCATACGGTTTAGTCAATTCAAAACTACGTAATCGGCTAGGCAATGTCAAAGCTGCTAAGTTGGTTTCAATTTTTAAAGAGCTTAATTCCAACAGTGATGACGTGACTGATCAAATATCAGATTGATGACTTAGATGACTATGAGACTGAAAGAGTGTGAGAAATTTGGTAACGCTTGTATGCAAAAGTTTAAAGTTTTCCAATTTTTGTTGTGTTCCTATTATTAATAAATAAATAATATGTACGTATGTTAAAAAGTTTGTATAATGTATTTGAGAATTTTTCCTATTTTTATTCATTGTAGTATCAATAAAGAAAATGAAAAAAAAACATGTTTTAAACTGTTTTAAGCAAAAACTGTTTTAAACCTAAGCAAATGTTTAAAACTTTTGATTAAAACAAAATGTTTAAAACGAAACAACTCTGCTAAAATCTATTTAAATTCAATCTTATCTCGGGGTTGTAATACCAGCGCACATATTCCATGGATATTAAAGGCACTCACATTCTTTAGTCGCATAGTTTACAGAGGGACGATGATATACTGGTTACAAATATAATCGACAATGATATATAACACCCATAATTTTTAATTAGAACATTTACAAGACACCAAATTGATATATCTCTTTCTGTTTTCGTTCGATAAACAATCGTTTTATTGACGATATAATAATCTATATATATGCAACTCTTGATTATATTGTTCCACTTAATGGGACTTAAGACAGCAATAAAATAAATATTTAAATAGCTGCTTTTAATGAAACATTTTGTGTCTTGTAATTCTTTTTAAAAAGCATGAAATAAAAGATTCGGAACGTCTCGTCGAAAATAAATTGGGTTATTTTAATATTCCAGAGTTGCATGCAATATCTGGTTTCCCAAATTTAATTTGTAATATTGCAAAGAAGCAGAAGATAATGTAATTTTTTCTACCTCTCTTAGCTCATAACTGGTCTTATATAAATTTGACAACATAAAATTTCAAACTGTGGCCTCAACTCATCATCCGAAATAATTTATGTGTCTATCAATGAATGTAGTGTTACAAAAGTCGTCATAAATCTAATCCAACTATTGCCATCGTTTAGTTACAAAGAAAAACATAAATATCAAAATCAATAATTTTGTAAATTAAACTTTCTAATAAACCTAAAACTATAAATTATAGTTTCGGGATATATATTATTAATGAAAGGTGTTAATTAAACAGTATTGGATTATATTTCACACACACTCTATATTCTATTTATTTATAATCATTGTTAATCCAAATCTAATTGTGGATTTTAGCTGCAGTTCAGTAACTAAATCCATTGTCAAAATAATTAGAAAATAAACGAATATCATCATTTGTTAAGCATATTACTATAAAACAACTTTATCATGTGAATGTGGCAATGAATCTAGGTAATGAAAAGAGTCTATTTCTCAAATTACTTATTAGATTATTCACGTACCGCATTGATGCCATTTGCAATGTTGATACAAACATTAACCATTCTCTTCTAAACACTTCAAAGTACCAACACCCTAAACACGTTAACATTAAACCCAAAACCGATGAATATAAAACTCGGTTAATTAGATAGACGATTCGATTTTGTAATTCACGCACATTTCCCCGTGAATACTAATGAACGAGGCAATATATCGTGTGTTCGGTCCCATTATTACAGCGTACGGATTTCAAAGAGACATCGACGGTTGTTTTTTCTTTTTTTTTTCACATTGTCATTACCCGTTTGATCGACCCAGCAGGTGTTGAAAACCGAACTAATAACTGACCGAAAGTTAAGGATCATCAAACACTAAAGCTATATAACTGGTGGGAGGAGACGGTTTCCGCTCTAGTATTCATGATGCGTGTTTAAACAGTTTGATCGGCGCTCTTTGTCTCGTTTACGGTTTCTCTATGGCATTTTTCGTTTCTTTCCGTTCGCGTCGTCGTAAATATTTCCCGATAAATAAAATTGCTGAGGGGGAGGTATGCAAACAAAACTGTTCGAAGGAATTGAATTTGTTCAACTGCTACCTGGCGTCGTCCTGGGTGCAAAAGCTACTTCAAGTGCTAAATCTAAAAATATGGATAGTATCGATTTATCGGGGAGCTGCTTAATTTTCATGCAATCTTTTCTTTTGCATTATAAAGTGTGGCTAAATTTAAATTTCTTTTTTGTTAAAAATTAATAAATATTAATTGTTTTAATAAAAATAATTCTAAACTATGTAGTAAAAACGACATAGTAATACGATTGAACGAGACAAATCAACTTGTAATTTTTTTTCCACTTTCAATCATCGTTAAATTGTTGTTAAATTATTGTTCTATATATTTGAATATATGAACATTTCTTTTATTAAATAAAATTTACAAACCTCGTGTGCCGGCGAAGTAGTTGTAGCATCAGAAATGGGGGTTTGCACTCGAACTTCCGAGAGAGGATCCTTAGAGCCATCTCTGGAAATAGCCGATCCGAGAGGGTGTCTACCCGCGTAGTTGCTATAGTTGAAATCTTCCCTTGGGTACGGTGTTCTAGACAATACCGAAGTAAGTCCATCTCTTCCGGAGGGTTGTGGTCTCGTGTAAGAGGTGGAATTTAGTCCGTCCCTGCACGGTCCGGGGGCGCAATTTGAAGATTGTTGTTGCACCGTGAAGACAGAGCCCGGGCGACGACGAGAGTCACCTCTGGCGGCAGCCATTACATAACTCCACATTGCAGGGCATCGCACGGAGTCACTTCACTAAAAATAAATACAAAAATTACTTAGGATAATATTAGCGTCATAATGATCACAACAATATATGTTTCGAAAAGTGAACTTTAATTCTGAACATGAAATGCATGAAATAATACAACACATGAAGTAATATGAAATATATTTACAAAATGCAAAACATGGGATTGGGAACCTGCAAAATTTTCTTTATATTTTATTGTATAATACAATTTTGATGTCATTAAGAAAATGTTACAGGAAACGCCACAGACAAAAAGATAAGAGAAAATCCTCGTTTTAAAAGCAGGTTGCGCTTTGAAGCACAGAATAGGAATAAAGTGTTGGAGATGTAATTCAAAACAAATAAACGAAGGTACGCAAAAACATTACTTTACAATTAAATAAATAGCGGAAAAAATGTATTTCTTAGTAAATCGTTTGTCACCATAAGATGAACCAAGAAACTACCAAACTGCCTAATTTGAATCACAGAAGTCATTATGTCAATCTTCCAATAGATTCTTCGAGATCTCATCGGTGTAAGATGGAGCAAGGCGTCCCACAGTGGGGCGAAACGCTGTTTTGCTGGCTAAAACCTATTTTTGAATTAAATGGATCCATGTTGCAAGTTCGGAAAGTATATAAGAAAGAAAGTAAAAAACTTCTTACTTGCTAAAATTTTTTTAATTTATACGGGAGTAGTTTCGAGCCAATAAGCTCATCCTCAGCCGAATTGTCAAAATCACTATTAAAACAGGAAAATCATTATTTGAAACATTTGCATAATCCTTACACTACATGAATAAAATGCTTACTATTTATAATTAAAATTAAAAGACACAACAAAATGCACGAACAAGAAGAGTTAAAATCTTTATGATGATGATAAAAATATTTTAATAGTGATTTTGACATAAATTAAAAAAAATTTTAGCGAGTAAGAAGTTTTTTACTTTCTTTCTGATATATTTTCCGAACTTGCAACATGGATCCATTTAATTCAAAAATACGTTTTGGCCAGCAAAAAGTTTATACATTGACTCACATAAGTGATCGGACACTTATGTATTATACATGAAATATATATTTATCTTCACAATTGTTATAGTGAAAACACAAAAAAAAATTACAGATTAACATCACCGTTTCTTTGAACTTAAAATTAAACTTAAAGTTGAAGAATATCCTAAAATCACACATTAGCAGAAACATTACGAAATGAGTTTCAGATTAATGTAAGCAAGGAGTGTATTCGACAACACCTTGATGGCCTCATGTTTACATTAAAACAAATACGTTTTGAACCGGAAAGAACCAACACCGTTGAAGTGAAAACAAAAGCATCTCAATACATAAGAACTTTGCTTGAAGTTCAAAGTGAAAACACGCCCATAATTTATTTAGATGAAACAAACTTTAATTTCTTTATCTCGCAAAGTCAAGACCGTTCAAAAAAAGGAAGTCGATGTACTTTCATTGCTGCCGGTTGCCGGGGAGTAAATTTGCATCTTATCGAATGTATCAGCAGCTTGGGATTGATTTATTATGAATTAAGAAGGGTGTCATTTAAAACTGAAGAGACTAATGAGTTTGCTAGGCAATGCTTAAGGAGAGCTCAAGATAGCTAATATTCAGTGGCTTTAGTCATTGATAATGCTCCTTGCCATTGTGGCAAGAATTTCTTCATCATAAACTTGTAATATTGATAAATTGGCGCTCTTAGCCAATGAGAGCGCTTAAAACCGCTGTAACCATGGTAATTATTTATTGGTTAAATTTATCAAGAGGTGGTAACAGTGGGCCTAAGGGCCGGTTTATCAACATCTAGTTAAGGGCCGGTTTATCAATATCGAGTTAAGGTCCATTACTACCATCTTTTAGTTAAATTTATCTTATAGATAAACCCATCTACTAGCCAATCAGAGCGCTTAAAATAGCCGTAAGCGTGGTAATAATCCCTTAGGGTGTGTTTACGTTGGAGCTGCGATAAACGATAATAGCGACGATACTACCAAAACAACGAAATTGTTGTCATAATTTTATATGCAGGTGTTTATATTGGAACGAGAGCTGCGATAAACGATAAGAGCAGCAATGAGAGCAGCGATAAGAGCTGCGCAAAATGAATTGAAAACGATTTGTCAGAATAAATCTGTTGTGGTAATTTTTATCTTTTTGGTCCCACAAGGGGGATCTAACAAAAATTTCACTAATTAAACAGTCGATATCCATGCCGACCACACCTGATAATAGCAAAGAAAATAGGGAATACAATTAGCGTCGCTCTTATAGTCGGCTGTCAAGCTTGTGACAATTCGTCGCTCCAATATAAACACTTGCATATAAAACTATGATAACAATTTCGTTATTTTGCTAGTATCGTTTATCGCAGCTCCAACGTAAACGCACCCTTAGATAGCTTAACCAGAAGATGGTAGTAATGAACCTAAATCTGTTAGATGCGCAACTCATGGATAAACTTGCCTAACTGATAACCTCAGTGAACCGTTTATCCAACAACTTTCTACCCGACAGCAACCTACGAGATAGAACATAGATGGCACCCCTGAGTGTTAACATTAGAAACGGAAATGAAACGTAATTGGGGAAATTTGAATAATTGACTTTAGTTTATGAAGTTGATATAAACAGCTGATCGTGTTTTGGCGGTTATCATTCCTATGTGCTTTCGGTATTGTGCTTTGTTTTCGAAAACCTCTTTTATAATGGAATATAATAAATATCCTAAATGAATATTTATTAGACAGCGATAAAGATGAGGATATTGCCCAACTCTTAAATTATAAACGACGACCATATATTATAAAAGAAAGACAAAAGTCAAAACCACTTTGAGGAGTTGGACGACCACGTTTTTTTGTTAGATTTCGGTTAAAAAAGGACACAGTTTTGTCAATCTTGGTTAAAATTAAGACGAGATTATACTATATTAGTTTATAGATTATATTATTATGTTCTTTTCTTATGTTCTTTTTTAAGTTCTTTTCTGCTGTACTAAAATTTGATGATCTTTTCTTTCTCTTGCTTATCCATCACCACAATTATAAGCTTAATTTATTTTTGACGTTATATTTTGATTTTATTGTCATTTCCTTTCACCAAGCAACCAAACTTGTGCTCATATTTTCTTGACAATATCTTATAGGTAAACCCTTAACCAGTACATCAATCTGGTGGGTAACCAAATGTCATATTTATCTATAAGATTACCCTAAACTACGGGTGGAAAAACGATTCGTCGACGTTATCTATCAGCTAGAATTTTAATTGACAGATAAATCGTCTTAACTAGATATTGACAAACCGACCCTAAGACGAACCTCCAAAACACGATCAGCTGTTTATATCAACTTCACAAACTAAAGCCAATTATTCAAATTTCACCAATTACGTTTCATTTCCGTTTCTAGTGTTAACACTCAGGGGTACCATCTATGTTCTATCTTGTAGGTTGCTACCTGTCGGGTAGAAAGTTGCTGGATAAACGGTTCACTGAGGTTATTTGTTAGGCAAGTTTATCCATGAGTTGCGTATCTAACAGATTTAACTTGACATTGATAAACCGGCCCTTAGTCTTTACAGTCCAATGCTAAACCCAATTGAACACGCTTGGGCAATTTTGAAAGCAGGTGTAAAAGCGAACTTGGCAAATGCGATTACAAATATTTTGAAGAGAAATGACCGAGAAAATTTGTCTTAAACAGAATACAGAATTCGAGAATTAGAAAATATAATTAGGACAATATTCCAAAAATTAATGTAACTAACTGTAACAGGTTTATAGCCAGAATTCAAAAGCTCCTGTATTTTAAACATGGAGGATGTCACCTTTTGGGTTTACAATATTGTTTATTACCAAGTATAAAATTATGTATTTATAATGTTAATCACGAATTAAAGATTATTGTTGAATGCTAATTTGATGTTGATTAATGTCATTTTGATTTATGCCAATTTCATTATGACAGTTGCCTACATTGGTTTTGTTTAATGCCATTTTAAATTTGATTAGTGCTAACAAATTTGAACTTGAAAAGGTATAGTGCTAGTCCAGGCTGTTCCGAAACCACGGTGTGCCTTGATTTACCTTCCTCTGCCCTCTCGAGCACCAACTAAAATCCTGGTGTGTCAAACTGCTTGGTGTTAATCTTCTTAAACAAATGAAGTTTTATTGACGCGAATTGTTAATAGACGTATATTTTAATAAATAATTATTACGTAATGGCCAACGATATTAAAATTGAAAATGTAGAATATTAAAACTCTTAAAACGAATATAGTAATTGAATCATTTGAATCCTTTACATTAACTTTTTGATGATCACTTTGTCCTCCTTTTGATAGCAGTAACTAAGCTTTTCTCTCTATTAATTATCTTCATTTCCTGTTTAATAGTTTGTACATTTCGCGGATTGATTACTACAACAATTGCATCTCGGTTCTGATTTTTTTTGAATCTTTAATAGATTGCTGTTCATGATCACTTTTTGATTTTTCTCTTGATACAGTGTATTAACGCAAATATCATTAATATTTCGAAACTATATGATTCTTTTAAGTAACATAGGGAAAGATTTACATGTAAATACTTTGTATAGAAGTATCTTGTTCGCTGGACCTTTTAACGAATGGAACTTTTTTGTGTCCTTTTTACAACAACAAAAAGTAATAAAATTTGCTGCAGGTAAAAATTTTTCCTACGAAGGCGACGGTTATGCAATCACTAAACGGGCCCGTTCTACTCAGCGTTATCACAGCATTAGGATACTCCCAGATATCCTACTAAACGTGTCCAAATGTGTCTTTCCGGGATTACTTAATGCTTTAAAAAGTAAACTCTCTGCATTTGTGGTGTTAGAAAGAAAACGCCTTAAACTGACATATTTTTACATAAATTTTAGTAATTAAATATTTAAAATAATTAAAAAAAAAAGATTGTAGGGATGGACAAATAGGTTTCCGAAGTAGAAGAGGTAAATAGAAACTAAAAAAACTAAATAAAAAAGGGGAAAAGTTGCGTGCACTATTCGTAGATTTAAGAGCGGCATTTGATATGATAAATAGGAAAAAATTGCAGCTAAAATTGCTACAAGCTAAAAATTGGATCTAAGGAAAATTAGTGAATATCTAATAGAGAGGATGGAAGAGGCATACTCGGAGACTATGTCGAGGGTGAGATGGAAAATGAGTGCAGGATTTTATACGAGTAAAGGGTTGAGGCAGGGATGTCAATTAAATCTGAATTTATTCGCGGCGATTATACGCATGTCCCTCAGAAGTGGCTCACACCCATACTTTTTTTATTATTAGTGGTATAAAACAACCATTAGGAGTGATGATTAGGCCATTAAAACGGATTATTACGACATGAAATCTCATGTACTAATTTCGCTATTTTTTTTAAATCTATAATTTTTTGTTCTTCGGTTGAGTAGACAGCATAATTTCACATAACTTTTACTTGATGAAATAATTTTCTTTATTTTTTAACGTTTTAGTAGCTTCGGAAATTGTATTACAAGTTTTGACGCATAGTAGCTAGGTTAATAGTATAAATTATGCTATGTTCCTCTTGATTTGGAATTTCTCGAACAGTGATCACTGCTATGCTTTAGTCAGTGGTTCTTTTTTAATAATGGTGTGAATTAGCAGTTCTGTTATATTAAATTAGTTTTAAAAGAAAAACGTGAACAAACAATTAAATTTAATTCAATTATTTTTAATCTTTTATTGTCTTTATTTTTTGTTCTTTTACACTAAATGTTCTGTAGCTGATAGTAACTTACAAGTACAATATCCATTATTCATTATGATTTGGATTGTTTCTTTATTTTGATTAAAACCTATCAAGTTGGCTATGGAAAAAAATTGCTAGCAATTTGATATAACGTTACAGTACAAGTAGATTTACTGTGATGTACACATAATTAAGTTTATTAGTTGACAATATTCGTTAATTTCAATTTAAATTATGGAAAACTTGACGCAAATCGAAAAAATAGATATAATATTAATATTTGGAGAATGCAAAAAAAGGCAGTTGCTGCTGCTAGACTCTACGCGCAGAGACTTCCTGGTCGTCGCCACCCAACAAGGCATTATTTTCCAAAAATTGTGGCGTTGATGCAAATAGAGCCGGTCAATAATGGAAACCCTAGTGTGGTTATCGACTCAAATAGATTTTGATAGCTTGTGGTTAAATTTTGAAAATTTTTTAGAATGTCATCTTGTGGTGTGACTTGGGAGTATTTTTGAGGTTTAAGTTTAAAATTTACTTCTGACAATGAGGTTGAAGTTGATGGTGAATTTAATGGCTCTCAAACTTTATCAGCAATGGAAAGGAGATCTTAAACTTCTTCCTTGCCAGAGGAAAGAAGAGCTACTGTAACAACTTTTGGTAATTGTCTTTGCCATAGTTTAACCAATAGTTTTTGACCAACCACGTGAGATCCTCCAACTGTTGTCAACATGGAACGATAAAAATCGGATGGTTTTTGATCACCCATATTAGAACCAGAAAGGAGGTTATCTAGACGTGTTTCATCGCTTAAGGATAATCGGTCTGTTAATACCTTTTTAAGCGAAGAGTATGGATCTAGATCTGGTGGATTTTGTATTAAGTCAACCACAGTTGAAAAAATTTCGGTAGGTAAATTTGCCAATACTGCCTTATATTTAGTTTTTTCAGAGTTAATTCTGCTTAACGCGAAAAGTGCTTCAACTTGTTTGAACCATATATCAGGGTTAGAACGCCAAAAGGGTGGAAATATAATTTTTGAAATATTTTGCAATTCTAAATCGGTATTTGAATCTACCATGGTAATTTAATGAGTGTGGAGGATGTTAAAACAACATAAACTCCGTTTTTACAAATACCAATTACATCAACATTTGTACGAATGATTATGCAAGACGACTCCAGTATTGTAATTGGTATTTAGAAAGACATCAAAACGATAATGCAATCCCCTTCAAAATTCTTTATACAGATGAGAGTCGATTTACTAACTTGGGTGTTTAATCGAAATAATAAAATTAGTAAATGAAAAATGGTAATCTGTACTTTTACTTGTTTTTTTATCATTCTAAATTCTTAGTCTAACATGTTTCGATATATTGTCATCATCAGAGACGCTACGAAAGATGTTTTAAATTATTAAACAATTTTTAGTTATTAAAGACACGTGTAGAATTTTTTTTTTTTTTTCTAAATAGAAGTTACAATAAAATGAAGTTAAAATATTACTTACTGCGTCAAAATTGTGTTGTGAAAGTTAATATTCAAATCTAGTTAAAGTGATTACCGTTAAACAATAAAACAAATTAAAAACTTCCAACTAAGGCGATGCACATTTATCGGCAACTAAGGCGATTCGCCAAAAGTAATCGCCATAATGGTCCATCGTTACAAAAGATTAACATTTAAGATTAAAGTGAACAGACAACATATTAAATTTAATTCCATTTGCAAAACGGAAAAACTTTTTCCGAAATATACAAATTACAAACTTCCACAACATCTTACAGACTTTCAAATAAACAAAATGAAATCCAAACACATAAACATTGAAATAAAGAAACATCACAAAAACTTAGCCATAGAATTGGAAGTTGCCGTCAATAGAATCCCAGGAGAAGACAACATAAGAAAATTGACAGAAATTTTGAAGAGAAGCGAAAGGACTACCTATAGCCACAACCATACAGGTAATAAAAGAGAAGAAACAAAAACCTTACGTAAGATAAAACATAAAATTCGTTCTAATTCTTTAATACTTACAAAAGCAGACAAAAATGCAGGTATAGTTTTTCTGGAAAGACCTCTTTATATTTTAAAAACTTTACAATTTTTTTCACAATAAAGTAAAAAAGATTATAAAATCCTCACAAGAATTCCTTAAAGAGCACAATGTCACATTTTATAATTTCCTTCCAATGAACCCTAAAACTACCTTACTATTGTTAAGTTACATTAACTTACATAAACAAAATCTACCTACAAAACACATACAAAATTTCAAAATTCATTTTACAAATATTTAAGAACCATATTAATTTTAAACCAGAATACACCATTAATAAAAGAGGTGAAATAATAATTATAATAAAAGAACTTACATTACCAGAAAACTATACAATATTATCCTTTGATGTGACAAATTTATATACAAACATTCCTGTAGCAGAAACACTATTACTGGCCAAAGATATAATAAGAACAAAATTCAATAATGATAACACTGAACACATTTATAGACTGTTAAAACTATGTACCGAACAAAACTTTGACCAATTTAACTATGAATTTTACAAATACGAAGAAGGATTATCCATGGGTTCCCCTCTTAGTGGGCTCCTTTCGGACATATTTCTCAATAGTTTAGAAACAAATTTACTTAAACATAACAGTTCTAACATAATACTTTGGCGCAGCTATGTAGACGACATCCTTATTATCTGGAATAATAAAGATTATGACTTCATTCATACATTAACAATTTATATAATAATATTAATTTTACAATAGAGCTTGAATTGGATAGAAAACTGAATTTCTTAGACCTTACTTTACATAATAATGCCAATCTGATCACATTTAATATATATAGAAAACCGACTCAACCTGACTCAATCATTCCTAAAGATTCATTTCACCATAAGACTCACAAAGCTGCAGCTTTTAGAGCTTTTATACATAGATGTTACAACACTGCACTCTCGACAATAGACAAAAATAAAGAACTTCAAATTATTCAAACAATTGCGAACAACAATGGATATAACTTATCCTCACTTATCTTCATCCTTACAACCTACCAACACCAACATTAATAAAATTTACAGAGCAATAACTTATTCTGGAAATGTCAGTTATTCTATCCAAAAATTATTTCATAATTATAATATAAACCTCTCATTCAGAAACAACACCTTAGAAAAAAAAATTTTTTTAACGCGAAAGACAAATGGCACAAATTAGATCAAAATGGAGTATACAGACTGGAATGTGACACATGTGGTGTATATATTGCAGAAACGGGTATATCCGTTAAACAAAGAATTAAGGAATATAAACTGAACCAAGAATCTAATTTTAGCAGACATATGCTATACAGGGTGATTCAAAAAACCGCCGACAGACTTC